AATGATATTTAACGATAGTAAAATATAACATTAATTATAATTTAATATACTATAATAATAATAATAATAATAATAATTTAATATACTACCTATATATAAAAGTATTATTATTATTATTATTATTCTAAAATAACCAATAAATTTTTTTTTATTAATTAAAATATTAAATTATTAATGCAATATATTTAAAATGAATGCTAGGGGAAAACTTAATAATGTTTTACTATAGAAAAGTATATATATATTTTAGTTCAAATATTTAATATACTATCAATATATAAAAATAATATAATTATTATTATTATTCTTCAGAACAACAAACAAATTTTTTAATAATTAATATAACAATTTGTATAAATGTTAATAGGATTTATTTTAATGATAGATTTAAAATATCCACATACTAGGGGAAAACTAAATGATGTTTGCTCATTCTTGGATCCCCATTCAGAACAATTGGGTGTAGTATATATATATATATATATATATTGTTTGTATGTTAGTACGAGAGTAAACATCATATGTATATAGATGTAAGTGTACGTGTGCATGTGTAAACCATGAATTGGAAATTTGGCCTATACCTGGCATGATGATAAACGTTAGCTGGTCGAGCATACCTAATATTTACTCGAGTTAATCTATTAGTCAAAACCACTAGCTTTAATGTTAATAATTACACCTGGCTGATATCACTTAAACATTCTCATACATCATACATTTTCATTTAAATATGTATATATATATATATTTATTTATCTCAGTGTATTTTTTTTATCTCACCTATTAGTAGTACACCGTTTCGTTTATATGCATGTGCTAAACCAAAATCTAACCTAACCTAAAAAGTCGTACCTGATATGTACTATTGAACTCAACCAACAACACATTGAGAAATATCGATAAAAGACCAACTGAATAATTCTACAAATCCTCGTCAAGAGAGACTACCGAATGTGTAAACTTTTGGCAAAATTATTCAAACCTAAAATTAGCATACTTCCAATCGTTACCATCATCTTCTCACAACCTGTTTTATTTCCTAATGAATTCTTAACCTCACATTTTTTTTCTTTCTTTTACTGATTTTAAAGTCATTCTCGTTCTAATTTACATCTTATTCTTTATTTACAATCGTCCATTTTATATTAGACAAATATAAAATAATAAATTATTCATAATTTGAACAATGCATTTATTGAATTAGTTTTGAACTTTTGCCAACATGGTGGCAATTTGTATACTCCATTTAAAAAAAATGGGGCCTTTTACCTCCTAGTGACGAAAAATTGAACTAATGTTTGTTCAAACGTACAGAATTTTTCGGTAAATCTAATTTAGATTTTATAATTATGTTTCCATTAGTTTGTATAATTTATTGTCAAAAAAATACAAAAGGAGAAAAATCAAATCCGATAAAACCTTCCGTTCAAAAATACAAAAAAAAATAAAAAAAAATAGAAAACTATTTTTGAAACGATCGATAGAAGTTAAAAATTGCACGACCAATAATAATTCTTTTTTTTTTTTTTTTTTGAAATAATCAATAACGATTAATTTTTATTTTAATTTGTAGATTTGATCAATAATTATTTTTATATTGCATATCATTTGTAAAATGATTGAAAAAACACCTGTAAAAAATTTTTTAAATTAATTAACTAAAGTAATACTAGAAACAAATACATGTTAAAAATAGTTGATACTTTGTGTTTATTCTTTTTTTATTTGTTTCTTTGTTTTTTTTTCTTTTTGCAAGTTAGTAATATTATATGAACGATTGTCCCCCTTTTCCAGCAAAATCGACGAATCGGATTTGAGATTTTTGAATAATTTATGACAATGTGTTCCACATTGGTTTTCTACTTAAAGGGGAGGAACAAAAAAATCGATGATATCGTGGAAAAAAACACAACGTTTTATTTTCATCAAATGTTACCTTATGCGAAATAAAATACGATCAACGTAGAATAAAAATATAAAAAAAAGAAAAAAAAAGAAAGAGGGGAATAAGATGTTTAATAATAATAAATAAAATCAATACACGAATAAGATATTCGATTAAATAACAATTTTAACGTGAATAATTTAATAAACAAATGTATTTTTATTCATTTTCTTTTTCTTCCCCTTATTTTACACACTTCGTTTAGTTTAACAATGAGAAGTGCAATTTCTATTTATAAACTTTTTAAACTAATAAACGAAATGCTAGTAACAAATATATATATATAGATATATTTAAAAAGAAAGAAAATGAAGAAAAGCCATTAGAAAAGTCGGGATGAATTTTTTCGTTGAGTTTACAGGTATCTGTGTATATATATATATATATATATATATA